GAGAGATTGGATTGTTTACAGTTTGGAAGGGGAATCCCCTTCCAGCAACACCTCAGGTACCAATTGCTTCTCTGGGGTTGCTTCTCTTCTCTGTTTCTTAATGCCACTAGGACCACCTTGAGAGTCACTCTAGTCCTGTCTCGCAAAGTAACTGTGGAGAGAGCTCTGTTTCTGGCGTCTCTTTAACACTTCCCGAAAATGGCCCAAGACTTTATCACTGTACATATTTCTCACCTTCTTTACCACAGGCTTGGCACTAGGAGATTTCTTTGGAGCCATGGTAGCTTATTTAGTAATTGGAAGCACTAAAATGAGTGGAATATTATGAAATATTTCGTAGGAGCACTTGAGGGGACCTTCACTCACTGGTAAACAATGCCAGACTGGCTGGGTAGGGAGGGACCACTGTATAATATATATATATTACAGTGGTCCCCCGCTTTTCGTAGTTCCCGGCAATCGTAAAATTCGCCAATCATAGGGGTATTTCCGTATGAACATCGCTTTTCATAGGTTGACTCGCGAGTCGTAGTTCGTCCTGGACGCGTACCCACGGCGTGAGCCGGGGCGGCAGCCACTCTGGCATTGTTTACCAGTGAGCGAAGGTCCCCTCACGTGCTCCAGCGAAATATTTCATAATATTCCATTTATTTTAGTGCTTGCAAGTACTAAATAAACTACCATGGCTCCAAAGAAAGCTCCTAGTGCCAAGCCTGTTGTAAAGGTGAGAAATACGACTGAATTTAAGAAAACCATCATTGAACAATATGAAAGTGGTACAAGTGTGGCCGAACTGTCAAGGATGTATAAGAAACCCTACACAACCTTATGTTCCGTAGTGGCCAAGAAAAAGGAAATAAAGGATGCTGTTGTTGCAAAGGGAGTAACTATGCTGACAAAAATGAGATCACCAGTACTGGAAGAGGCTGAGAAGTTATTATTGGTGTGGACAAATGAGAAACAATTAGCAGGAGATACTCTTATGACTTCGATTATTTGTGAAAAGACTAGGCAGTTGCATGAAGATTTGATAAAGAAATTGCCTGCAAATAGTGGCCAGCAAAGGCTGGTTTGAGAGATTTAAGAACCGTACTGGCATACACAGTGTGGTAAGGCATGGTGAGGCTGCCAGTTCGGACCACAAGGCGGCTGAAAAATATGTGCATGAATTCCAGGAGTACATAGAGGCTGAAGGACTGAAACCTGAACAAGTGTTCAATTGTGACGAAACAGGCCTCTTTTGGAAGAAAATGCCAAAGAGGACCTTCATTACACAAGAAGAAAAGGTAATGCCAGGACACAAGCCTATGAAAGACAGGCTGACGCTAATGTTCTGTGCTAATGCTAGTGGAGATTTCGAAGTGAAGCCATTACTAGTGTACCATTCTGAAAATCCCAGAGTGCTCAGGAAAAACAATGTTATGAAGAGTAAATTGTGTGTGTTTTGGAAATCTAATAGTAAGGCATGGGTCACGAGGGAAATTTTCGTCGAGTGGTTCAATGAAGTGTTTGGCCCTAGTGTGAAGGAGTATCTCCTGGAAAAGAAATTGGATCTCAAGTGCCTGCTAGTAATGGACAATGCACCTGCTCATCCTCCAAACTTGGATGACCTAATTTTCGAGGAGTTTGGGTTCATCACAGTAAAGTTCTTGCCCCAGAATACCACTCCTCTCCTCCAACCCATGGACCAGCAGGTTATTGCAAACTTTAAAAAACTCTACACAAAAGCAATGTTTCACAGGTGCTTGACTGTGACCACAGACACACACTTGACCCTAAGGGAATTTTGGAGAGAACACTTCAGCATCCTCAACTGCATAACCCTTATAGGCATGGCTTGGGAGTGACTACCAGGACTTTGAACTCTGCCTGGAGAAAACTGTGGCCAGATTGTGTTGACAAGAGGGATTTTGAAGGATTTGGGACTGACCCTAATGAGCCTATGTCTGTTGTAAAATCAATTGTGGCACTGAGGAGTTCCATGGGGTTGGATGTGTGTTTGGAGGATGTGGAAGAATTGGTGGAAGACCACAATGAAGAGCTCACCACTGAGGAGCTGCAAGAGCTTCAGCAGGAAGAGCAACACATCGCAGCTCAGAATCTTGCTGCAGAGGAGGAAGAGAGATGGAAGAAGGTGCCTTCTTCAGAAATTAAAGAGATTTTTACTATGTGGGGCAAGATGGAAAGCTTTATGGAGAAACATCACCCTAACAAGGTTGTTGCAAGCCAGGTTGGCAACATGTACAGTGATGACAAAGTCTTGGGCCATTTTAGGGAAGTGTTAAAGAGACGCCAGAAACAGAGCTCTCTCCACAGTTATTTTGTGAGACAGGACTCCAGTGACTCTCAAGGTGGTCCTAGTGGCATTAAGAAACAGAGAAGAGAAGCAACCCCAGAAAAGCAAATGGTACCTGAGGTGTTAATGGAAGGGGATTCCCCTTCCAAACTATAAACAATCCACTCTCTAATCCTCCAGTCTCCCATACACAAAGAAGAATATCCAATAAAGGTAAGTGTTATGCTGTTAATGTTTTATTCATCATTTCCCATTGTACTGTTTATGTACTACATGTATATTTCATGTTAAATTTTTTTTGTTTTAATACTTCTGGGTATCAGGAACGGATTAATTGTATTTACATTATTTCTTATGGGGAAAATTGATTCGTAAATCGTAAATTTCGTTTATAGTAACGACTACAGGAACGGATTAATTACGAAAAACGAGGGACCACTGTAATATATATATAATATATTATATATATATATATTATATATATATATATATATATATATATATATGTATGTATATGTATGTATATATATATATATGATATACACATGCGCATCTATCTCCAATACACCAGGGAGGAAGGAGGGAAAGCCGCCAGCTTCAGGGAGTTCCAAAAGTCTAGAAAATATGGATAACTTGCCCATCATTATATGTTTTTTTCCATAGGCTCAGAGACCCTTGGCTCATGGGGAAAGAGTGAATAAGTTCCTTAAGGAGCTAGGCAAAAGACTCAACAGGGTAACTAGGGATCCCAGGGCAGCTACTTTTCTGTTCCAGCGACTCAGCGCTGCTGTTCAAAGGGGTAATGCCTGCTGTATTTTGGGCACGCGCCCCAGTTCTGAAGAGCTGGATGAGATTTTTGCATTATAATCAGTGACAAACATGTAACAATATGTACTAGACATTTATCTTTCACATCTCATATACTGTATATGTCATCTTTATATCAAACAACGTATGTCAAACCTTTTGTACCATATGATGTAATAAAATATACCTACTGGTAAAAAATAATGAAAAGATGGGGTGGTAGGGGAAATATTCAAACGGTTTCAGTAAGAAATCCAAATATTCTTCCTTGAAGCCTTTTTATCCACTTCTCCGAGGTTATGGGTCCCACAATTTAAACCAGAGGTGGACCCCATCCTATTTTTTTATAATAAATAAATAAATAAATAAATATATATATATATATATATATATATATATATATATATATATATATATATATATATATATATATATATATATTATATTGCCGAATAGCTAAAACTTGCTATTTTGGCTTAAACAGTAATGTTCTTCTTGCCGAATAAAGCAAGAGAAAATTTGTGTTTGCAATAATTTCGCAAAAATCATTCCGAACCTAAAGAAAAAAAAATTACTTGTGTTTATTATTAAATTATTGAAAACTTATCTAAAATATATTTAGTTGGATTAGGCTAAACTGAATTGCGCTTGTTATAATAGGGTTGGGTAAGCTTTCTAAAGTTTTAATGGTACAAAATTATTTATTTGTACATTAACATAAATGAAAAAAATATATCTTTAAATACATATAAGAAAATTTTAGAAAGGACTTAATTTTAAACGAGTTATTACTAATTGACCAGTTTTACCAATTCATCACGACATTATATATATATATATATATATATATATATGCATGCATGCATATATATATATATATATAATATATATATATATATATATATATATATATGCAAAACAACCACTCTGAAAGAATAGAGTAAAATCCAAGCGCTTTCGTGACTACTCACATTATCAAGGAACTTAAAGTGAAGCATCCAAGGAAGCTATATAAGGGGTCGGCCAGCACCTCACTATCAGATCCCACAACGCCGCGCGTCACGTGTTTAACCGTTGTGGATCTGATAGTGAGGTGCTGCCGACCCCTTATATAGCTTCCTGGATGCTTCACTTTCAAGTTCCTTGATAATGTGGTAGTCACGAAAGCGCTTGGATTTTCTCTATTCTTTCAGAGTGGTTGTTTTGCATAATATATATATATATATATCATGCATGCATGCATTATATATATATATATATATATATAAATATAATATATATATTATATAATATATATATATATATATATCTATATATATTATATATTTCTTTCATATGATATAGTTGTGGCCCTGATGACTCTCCTCTTTCCACTCTTCCTCCCACTCTTTTTCTCACACTCCACAACAGTGGAGAGAAGAGAGGCGGTACCAGGAGCTGAAACTCGACCCCTGAAACCTCAGTATGGTGAATACTCTCCTCCCACTCCTCTCCTCCACTTCTCTTCCTTCGCTATCCCCCACCCCTCTCTACCCACTCTCCTCTCAGTCTCCCATCCTCTCCTTCACCCACTCCCCTCCCACTTGTTTCCACTCTCGTCCAGCTCTCATCAACTTACTCCTCCTTCCACATCTTCCTCCACTATCCTCTTTTTTTCTACTTTGTTTTCTCCTTCCACTTTCCTCCTCTAGCATTCCTAACCTTCTCCACTCTCTTCTTTACTTATTTTCTCCAGTCCTCTCTCTTCTTCATTCTCTCTCTCTCCCCAACATAGCTCTTAACTACATAACCCTTCATTTGAACCTTACGACGCTTACTGACATTATCCTGTTATACACGTACAGAACTCGGTGTATGGTGACAAATGTTTCCCTAACATTGTATTTTACACGTACAGAACACGGTGTATGGGAGGGTCACCAGTTCCACACTGCTGATCAACGTTACTCGGGAGGACAACAGTGCCAAAGTGACGTGCAGGGCTGCCAACCCAGCCATGCCAGGCTCTCCCATTACCAACACAACTAAGCTCAATGTTCACTGTAAGTTTTCTCTGTGAATACAACTACGACAAATTATTTGGTCTTATTTACAGGTTAAAATTTCTTCCATGCCATCCAAACCGGTGAAAATACATAGAGTGACTTCTTCAGTCCAGCGCAGGGAAAAGGTGGAAGATGAGAAGTTTGAGGTAATCAGTCCCTCAATCTAGAATCGATGTGTTTAGTCCACATATCGACTCCAGACTGAGGACTCATTACCTCAGACCCCTCCTCGTCTTCCACCTTTCTCCGCACTGGACTGAAGAAGCCCCTATGTGGCGAAACGTTCCCAAAATAAAGATATCAAACGTTGCACAAGTGTCTCATTTATGAATTTGTCGCCTTTGTAAACAATTTATGTCTTTGTAACAAAAGTGTTAGTGTGAGTAATGAACCCTAGTGTGAGTAATGAACCCTAGTGTGAGTAATGAACCCTAATGTGAGTAATGAACCCTAGTGTGAGTAATGAACCCTAGTGTGAGTAATGAACTCTAGTGTGAGTAATGAACCCTAGTGTCAGTAATGAACCCTAGAGTATGATCCTAGGTAATGAACCCTAGTGTGAGTAATGAACCCTAGTTGGTGTAACCTAGTTGAGTAATGAACCCTAGTGTGAGTAATGAACCCTAGTGTGAGTAATGAACCCTAGAGTAATGAACCCTAGTGTGAGTAATGAACCCTAGTGTGAGTAATGAACCCTAGTGTGAGTAATGAACCCTAGTGTGAGTAATGAACCCTAGTGTGAGTAATGAACCCTAATGTGAGTAATGAACCCTAGTGTGAGTAATGAACCCTAGTGTGAGTAATGAACCCTAGTGTCAGTAATGAACCCTAGTGTGAGTAATGAACCCTAGTGTGAGTAATGAACCCTAGTGTGAGTAATGAACCCTAGTGTGAGTAATGAACCCTAGTGTGAGTAATGAACCTTAGTGTGAGTAATGAACCCTAGTGTGAGTAATGAACCCTAGAGTAATGAACCCTAGTGTGAGTAATGAACCCTAGTGTGAGTAATGAACCTAGTGTGAGTAATGAATCCTAAGTGTGAGTAATGAACCCTAATGTGAGTAATGAACCCTAGTGTGAGTAATGAACCCTAGTGTGAGTAATGAACCTAGTGTGAGTAATGAACCTTAGTGTGAGTAATGACCCTAGTGTGAGTAATGAACCTAGAGTAATGATCCCTAGTGTGAGTAATGAACCCTAGTGTGAGTAATGAACCTAATGTGAGTAATGAACCTAGTGTGAGTAATGAACCCTAGTGTGAGAATGAACCCTAGTGTGAGCAATGAACCCTAGTGTGAGTAATGAACCTAGTGTCGTAATGAACCCTAGTGTGAGTAATGACCCTAGTGTGAGTAATGAACCCTAGTGTGTAGTAATGAACCCTAGTGTGAGTAATGAACCCTAGTGTGAGTAATGAACCTTAGTGTGAGTAATGAACCCTAGTGTGAGTAATGAACCCTAGAGTAATGAACCCTAGTGTGAGTAATGAACCCTAGTGTGAGTAATGAACCCTAATGTGAGTAATGAACCCTAGTGTGAGTAATGAACCCTAGTGTGAGTAATGAACCCTAGTGTCAGTAATGAACCCTAGTGTGAGTAATGAACCCTAGTGTCAGTTATGAACCCTAGTGTCAGTAATGAACCTAGTGTGAGTAATGAACCTAGTGTCAGTAATGAACCTAGTGTGAGTAATGAACCCTAGTGTGAGTAATGAACCCTAGGTGAGTAATGAACCTAGTGAGTATGCTGTGTAGTAATGAACCCTAGTGTGGAGTAATGAACCCTAGTGTGAGTAATGAACCCTAGTGAGTAATGAACCCTAGTGTCAGTAATGAACCCTAGTGTCAGTAATGAACCCTAGTGTCAGTAATGAACCCTAGTGTGAGTAATGAACCCTAGTGTGAGTAATGAACCCTAGTGTAGTAATGAACCCTTTAGTGTGTAGTAATGAACCCTAGTGTAGTAATGAACCTAGGTGGAATGAACCCTAGTGTGAGTAATGAACCCTAGTGTGAGTAATGAACCCTAGTGTGAGTAATGAACCCTAGTGTGAGTAATGAACCCTAGTGTGAGTAATGAACCCTAGTGTCAGTAATGAACCCTATGTGTGCAGTAATGAACCCTAGTGTCGAGTAATGAACCCTAGTGTCAGTAATGAACCCTAGTGTGAGGAATGAACCCTAGTGTCAGTAATGAACCCTAGTGTGAGGAATGAACCCTAGTGTCAGTAATGAACCCTAGTGTGAGGAATGAACCCTAGTGTGAGGAATGAACCCTAGTGTGAGTAATGAACCCTAGTGTGAGTAATGAACCCTAGTGTGAGTAATGAACCCTAGTGTGAGTAATGAACCACTTGCTAGTGTGAGTAATGAACCCTAGTGTGAGTAATGAACCCTAGTGTAGTAATGAACCCTAGTGTGAGTAATGAACCCTAGTGTAGTAATGAACCCTAGTGTGCAGTAATGAACCTAGTGTGAGTAATGAACCCTAGTGTGAGTAATGAACCCTAGTGTATGAACTAGGTGAGTATGAACCCTAGTGTGAGTAATGAACCCTAGTGTGAGTAATGAACCCTAGTGTGAGTAATGAACCCTAGTGTGAGTAATGAACCCTAGTGTGAGTAATGAACCCTAGTGTGAGTTATGACAGTAATGAACCCTAGTGTGGAATGAACCCTAGTGTGAGTAATGAACCCTAGTGTGAGTAATGAACCCTAGTGTGAGTAATGAACCCTAGTTGTGGAGTAATGAACCTAGTGTCAGTAATGAACCCTAGTGTGAGTAATGAACCCTAGTGTAGAGTAATGAACCCTAGTGTGAGTAATGAACCCTAGTGTGAGTAATGAACCCTGTAGAGTATGAACCCTAGTGGAGTAATGAACCCTAGTGTGAGTAATGAACCCTAGTGTAGTAATGAACCCTAGTGTGAGAATACCTGTGGTAATGAACCCTAGTGTGAGTAATGAACCCTAGTGTGAGTAATGAACCCTAGTGTGAGTAATGAAACCCTAGTGTGAGTAATGAACCCTAGTGTGGTAATGAACCTAGTGTGAGTAATGAACCCTAGTGTGAGTAATGAACCCTAGTGTGAGTAATGAACCTTAGTGTGAGTAATGAACCCTAGTGTGAGTAATGAACCCTAGAGTAATGAACCCTAGTGTGAGTAATGAACCCTAGTGTGAGTAATGAACCCTAGTGTGAGTAATGAACCTAGTGTGAGTAATGAACCCTATGTGAGTAATGAACCTAGTGTGAGTAATGAACCCTAGTGTGAGTAATGAACCCTATGTGAGTAATGAACCCTAGTGTGAGTAATGAACCCTAGTGTGAGTAATGAACCCTAGTGTGAGTAATGAACCCTAGTGTGAGTAATGAACCCTAGTGTGAGTAATGAACCCTAGTGTGAGTAATGAACCCTAAGTGTGAGTAATGAACCCTAGTGTGAGTAATGAACCCTAGTGTGAGTAATGAACCCTAGTGTGAGTAATGAACCCTAGTGTGAGTAATGAACCCTAGTGTGAGTAATGAACCCTAGTGTGAGTAATGAACCCTAGTGTGAGTAATGAACCCTAGAGTAATGAACCCTAGAGTAATGAACCCTAGTGTGAGTAATGAACCCTAGTGTGAGTAATGAACCCTAGTGTGAGTAATGAACCCTAGTGTGAGTAATGAACCCTAGTGTGAGTAATGAACCCTAGTGTGAGTAATGAACCCTAGTGTGAGTAATGAACCCTAGTGTGAGTAATGAACCCTAGTGTGAGTAATGAACCCTAGTGTGAGTAATGAACCCTAGTGTGAGTAATGAACCCTAGTGTCAGTAATGAACCCTAGTGTGAGTAATGAACCCTAGTGTGAGTAATGAACCCTAGTGTGAGTAATGAACCCTAGAGTAATGAACCCTAGTGTGAGTAATGAACCCTAGTGTGAGTAATGAACCCTAGTGTGAGTAATGAACCCTAGTGTGAGTAATGAACCCTAGTGTGAGTTAATGAACCCTAGTGTGAGTAATGAACCCTAGTGTATACTAGGTAATGAACCCTAGTGTCAGTAATGAACCCTAGTGTCAGTAATGAACCCTAGTGTGAGTAATGAACCCTAGTGTGAGTAATGAACCCTAGTGTGAGTAATGAACCCTAGTGTGAGTAATGAACCCTAGTGTGAGTAATGAACCCTAGTGTGAGTAATGAACCCTAGTGTGAGTAATGAACCCTAGTGTGAGTAATGAACCCTAGAGTAATGAACCCTAGTGTGAGTAATGAACCCTAGTGTCAGTAATGAACCCTAGTGTCAGTAATGAACCCTAGTGTCAGTAATGAACCCTAGTGTGAGTAATGAACCCTAGTGTCAGTAATGAACCCTAGTGTCAGTAATGAACCCTAGTGTGAGTAATGAACCCTAGTGTGAGTAATGAACCCTAGTGTGAGTAATGAACCCTAGTGTGAGTAATGAACCCTAGTGTGAGTAATGAACCCTAGTGTGAGTAATGAACCCTAGTGTGAGTAATGAACCCTAGTTGTGAGTAATGAACCTGTGAGTAATGAACCCTAGTGTGAGTAATGAACCCTAGTGTCAGTAATGAACCCTAGTGTCAGTAATGAACCCTAGTGTCAGTAATGAACCCTAGTGTGAGGAATGAACCCTAGTGTGAGTAATGAACCCTAGTGTGAGTAATGAACCCTAGTGTGCAGTAATGAACCCTAGTGTGAGTAATGAACCCTAGTGTGAGTAATGAACCCTAGTGTGAGTAATGAACCCTAGTGTGAGGAATGAACCCTAGTGTGAGGAATGAACCCTAGTGTGAGGAATGAACCCTAGTGTCAGTAATGAACCCTAGTGTGAGTAATGAACCCTAGTGTCAGTAATGAACCCTAGTGTGAGGAATGAACCCTAGTGTGAGTAATGAACCCTAGTGTCAGTAATGAACCCTGTGTGTAGTAATGAACCTAGTGTCAGTAATGAACCCTGGTGTCAGTAATGAACCCCAGTGTGAGTAATGAA